TGTAAGGATAGATGCATCTTAGCCTCATCACACATGGTACATGATAAGCAAACCTGATTGAAAGTGTGCAACCAAACATCAGACTATGCATTAGCATAGCCGTAAGCCGACAACCAAATACGGGGATGAAATTGGTGCTATTATGCAGGTTACCAAACGAGGTGAACACCATAATTTTTAGCATGCACTTCTCAACCTATCTTGGCCTCTTAGGTGAGACACATATGCAAGGAGGCAAAAGCGATGCAGGCTATCAAACACGAGCACATCATTAGACAATATCTGGCATGCCAATCATGTAGCTAACAAAATATGAGCCATCACTTAACGTGCAGAATTGCGTGCGCTCTCTGCATGGGAGGAAAAAAACTGGCTCTGCTGCTTAAAATGGACATTGCAAAGGCCTTTGACTCCATCTCTTGGGAGTATCTACTAGAAATCTTGCAAGCCATGGGATTCCGTGCTTGTTGGCGGGGCTGGATCGCCACGTTCCTCTCGACCTCATCTTTTGCAATCCTGCTAAACGGCATTCTGTGCAGCAAAATTTAGCATGGCGGAGGGCTCAGGCAGGGCGACCCTCTGTCCTCCTTCCTCTTTATCTTAGCGATTGATCCTCTTCTAGGAGTGCCCTGTTTCTTTAAAAATTTGGCGTCGCACGGCTGACCAGCATGATTGCTTGCCACTGGATCCAGTGACTTGGTGACAATGCCGCACAATATGGGGGAGCAGATGGAGATGACTGTGACCAAGGCTTCGGCAGCGGATGGTCTGCTCGCCGGTTAGCATGATCATGGGAGCAATCAGAAGAGACATGGACTCTTGGCGCCTCGCGGATGCTAAGTGACTATAGACACCACTAGGCAATCCAGGGTTATGCTAGGGGTTCTTTTTTTTTTCGTGCTTCTGCACGACTTGGGTTGCTTCTTGAAATTTAGCAGTTTCAAGTCCTCAAGTTCTCTTGTACCCCCCATGATCGCTTGATCATGTTGAATTTTTTTTTTTTGAAACGGGTCATGTTAAAATTTTGGCGTCTTCTCCTTCTCAATATATTTGCAAGCCAGCTATCTTGGATCTTAAAAAAAACTTTTTAGTTCAGGTAGAGGAAGACAAGCAATATATTTCAGCAGCCTCGTCTTAAGAGTGGAGCAGGTAAGGAGCTGGCCGGACGCAAATGTCCAGCAGGCAGATCACGGGATATAAAATCCCCTATAAAAATCGGATGTACAAAAACAAGATAAAATTAAAGATCCCGTGAGTGTGGTTTAGCAAGTCTGTGAGATAGGTTTCCCGTCTTAAAATAAAAAAAACTTGCGAGATAGGAAAAGAAAAGAAACGTGAGTACACACATCCATACGTCTATCACCAGTCCAGACGTCCAGTCATTCGTTATCACGCCAACACGCGTACAGCTACGAATCCAGATGAGCGGAGAAGGCAGCGCTACTAATCAAGATGACGATAAGCCGTTTATCTTAGCACCATCAGTTCATCGCGCGGGCCGTCCAATCAACGAAGCCATTGGTCACAAGGTACAATTCCGTTTCAATCAAGGAAACGCTATATAGCAAAATAGCTTTGGTCTTGAAATACGCTATTAGCAAGACTAAGTACATCAAATTTATTTTGCGAGACAATTTTCAGGACGCTATAGCATGATATTAGCAATATTATAGCGCGCTACTTTGTTCATTGGTTTTAATTAATATCTCAAATAAGTATAGCAACTCCGTTTGTCCGAGCCAGAACCATGTGCCGTCCCTGTTGAGAATTTCCCGCGACGGCGACGGTTAGATCGAGGCGATCCACGACCCGGCCCGCCACAGGTTCCAACGCGCGGCGTCGCAGCCTCCAGGTCGCCGGGGTGCACGGCCGAGGAACCAGACGCAACCGGATCCACATAAAAGGAACCCGGCGAAAACTGGGGCTATACGGCCGCGCGCTGGCCGGAACCGAAGAAGGGATTAATGGGGACAAGAAAGCAACAGCACAAGCCCCGGCCCGTGTTCGTTCATGGAACGCAGGAGGCAGGCAGCCGTGAAAGATCACGCTCGTGCGCTCTTGATGCGTCAAGATGAGCGAATGGACGCCACAAAATATGGCGCAAAATTACACCGGTCGCCTTTTGGGGGTCACTAAAAAGTTTCAGCTGGAGAGGCTTCTAGGTTTCAGCAGTTGGCTGCGTGCTGCTTGCTAGCCCTCGTTTGTCCTGTCAGGCGCGAACGTGTTCAAGCGTTCCTCACATGTTTCCTAGTAGTAGATCGTAAAATCTGCCCGTTCTATTTGTTTGGGGTGGTTGTAGGAGTAACATGTAAGGGTATTTCTAACCGATTCCCTAAAAATAATGGGTATCCAGTGGAGTAAACTCTTAATGGAGTATATTTACTTCACTAAATTTTGGTCGGATTTAGCTTTTTTTTCTCTAAAAGATGCACGAGTGTGCATATCATATATTGTAGAAGAAAAGGGTGAAGAAACCCTCCACAAGATTTTACATATTAGTTACAAGGTTCGTGGACCTCCACTCCACATAGTGTCACTATAAGGGACTACTCACCGCCTACCCGCCTAGATATACTACCAAAAAAGGAGTCGAGATCACTCTTCAGGAGTCCTGCCGCCTTCCAGATCCGTCCTTCGCGCTCAATGTTCCGAAGCAGCAGTTGAAGTGACGGTGTTTCTCCATCAAAGACTATCTATCGTATTGCGGTGCTTCCACACTTCCCATAAAGCTAGCGTGGTGATGGTCTTTAAGTCTTTGGTTGAAATATGATTTGCCACGCGTGTGGAGCACCAGTCCACCAAGGTATCCTCCGTAGCCGGGGCATGCGACGTATCTCCCAGGGCATTCCAGATCCAAAGTCATATAGTTCGTGCAAAGACACAGGTGAGCAGGATGTGATTGATCGTCTCAGGCAGCTGGTTGCAGAAGGGGCACGATGCTTGGTGAGATAGCCCTCGTCTCGCCAAACGGTCAGAGGTCTAACAGAGATTTCGCATGGCCAGCCAGGCAAAGAAGCGACACTGTAGGGGTGCCTTCTGTTTCCAAACAAACTCCGCATATGGTGCCACTTCTTGTCCCATGAACTTTGCCTCATCGGATGGAATATGCCCTATTGCTCTCGCAGGCCCAGCGTATGATGTTCTCCCTCTCAGCATGCAATTCCACCTGTGCCACACTTTCCCAAAGCCGCATGTATTCCTCTATCTTGTCGAGCCCAAGGTTGGGTCCAACTCAAGAAAATATGCCCTAGAGGCAATAATAAAGTTGTTATTTATATTTCCTTATATCATGATAAATATTAATTATTCATGCTAGAATTGTATTAACTGAAAACTTAGTACATGTGTGAATACATAGACAAACAAAGTGTCCCTAGTATGCCTCTACTTGACTAGCTCGTTAATCAAAGATGGTTAAGTTTCCTGACCATACACATGTGTTGTCATTTGATGAACGAGATCACATCATTAGGGAATGATGTGATGGACAATACCCATCCGTTAGCTTAGCATAATCATCATTTAGTTTATTGCTATTGCTTTCTTCATGACTTCTACATGTTCCTCTGACTATGAGATTATGCAACTCCCGAATACCGGAGGAACACCTTGTGTGCTATCGAACATCACAACATAACTGGGTGATTATAAAGATGCTCTACAGGTGTCCCCGATGGTGTTTGTTGAGTTGGTATAGATCGAGATTAGGATTTGTCACTCCGTGTATCGGAGAGGTATCTCTGGGCCCTCTCGGTAATGCACATCACTATGAGCCTTGCAAGCAATGTGACTAATAAGTTAGTTGCGGGATGATGCATTACGGAACGAGTAAAGAGACTTGCCGGTAACGATATTGAACTAGGTATGATGATACCGACGATTGAATCTCGGGCAAGTAACATACGATGACAAAGGGAACAACGTATGTTGTTATGCGGTTTGACCGATAAAGATCTTCGTAGAATATGTGGGAGCCAATATGAGCATCCAGGTTCCGCTATTGGTTATTGACTGGAGAGGTGTCTCGGTCATGTCTACATAGTTCTCGAACCCTTAGGGTCCGCACGCTTAACGTTCGAAGACGATTTTATATTGTATGAGTTATGTGATTTGATGAACGAATGTTGTTCGGAGTCCCGGACGAGATCACAGACATGACGAGGAGTCTCAAAATGGTCGAGAGGTAAAGATTCATATATATGATGGTAGTATTTGGACACCGTAAGTGTTTCGGGGGTACCGAGTACATATCAGGTCGCCGGAAAGGGGTTCCGGGCACCCCCGGCCAAGATATGGGCCTTATTGGGCCTAGGGTGGGACAGACCAGCCCCTAGTGAGTTGGTGCGTCCCATACATGGCCGAATAGGGGGGATAAAGGAAAGGGAGAGGAGAGAAAGGAAGGGGCAATTCGGCCTCCCCTTTCCTTCTCTCCCCCCTCCTTTTTTTGAAAGCTCGGGACAGTGAGGGCAGCCCCCCACTGACTTTATATTACTTCAACCAACACAACTTACAACTTACATCCCCTCTGGGGTTACATGATGGTGGAGATTTCCACCAGAGGGGGGAGTGTGTGTAGAGGACAGAAAGGAGAAAAGAAAAACTTTTAAGTCAATACGACCCAAGAAGTGATGAGTACTTGGGCATGAATTTGGAAACCTCCTATTTACCAATAGAAGTATTGGCCTACTTCTACACCCGATATATCGTATAACCCCTTGAGTGTTTTAATGGAACAAGGTATAATATTCATATTGTCCTCTGCTAAAAATTGAACTTCAAAAAAGGAATTCTTTTGATTCAACCATCTCTTTCTCAACTTAGCAACTTGAAGTATTAATCTTACATTTAGGATACCAAGAAAGCGCATCAGATCATAATATATATCAATATTCCCCTTCTTTTCTCTATGCAAAAAAAATTCTATGCAAAAAAAAGATATAGTAAAGTAAGTGATTCCATAAATTTACGCAGTTGCCCAAGAATTCACTATATATTCTTAATCAACGATTTCTTATATAGAGAGAACGGCCCTCAAAAATTGAAAATACTAATTTCTTAAGAATCAATCGAATTGAAGTCATAGTGTCATCGTTGGCTGGAATCGATATATTCGCAAGATCCGGGTCACAATTTGTATCGACTAAAGAAATAGTAGGAATCCCCAAAATGGCACATTCCTGAAGAGCTATATACTCTTTTTCCTGATCAAGGACGACCACAATGTCTGGCAATATCGTCATATATTTGATCCCGCTGAGATACCTTTGCAAAGTAGATAATTTTCTCTTCAAGATTGCCACATCTCTTTTTGGGAGATGGTGGAATTTTCCCATTTTTTCTTCTGCTCTTAAGTCTCTAAATTGAGAAAGTCTAGTTTTCATAATCGACCAATTCGTTAACATACCACTGAACCAATTTTCATTAATATAATGACAACGAGCCCTTATTGTAGCTGATGCTACTAAATCTGTTGCTCTTTTTTTGGTACCAACAATTAAGAAACTTTTTCCCTGACTTGCTGCATCAAAAACTAAATCACAAGCTTCTGATAAAAAAAACGAGCCGTTCTAGCAAGATTTATAATATGAGTACCTTTGCGCTTTGCCAAAATGTAAGGGGCCATTTTAGGATTCCATTTCTTAATACCATGACCAAAATGAACTCCTGCTTCTATCATCTCTTTCAAATTAATGTTCCAATATCTTCTTGCCATTTTTTCCACACTCCCTTTTTTTAATCCTACCATTCCATTACGGAATTTAGTTCTTTTTAAAGATTAAGAAAGATCCGAAATAGCTTGAAATAAATAATAATTGTTCCGAGAGAACCTTGTACTAAGATAAGAGTTGGCCATTGATACATGCTATAAACATAACCACCTTAATGAATTAACTGACTTGTTTTACTTATTAAAATAAAAATCTTAAAAATCTAAAATTTGACATGTTAGTGTTCTAAGTTCAAAAGTCTAGTAAAGTAAAAAATATTTTTTATGTATCCTTAAATGACATAGGGTTAAATGTTAAACGGGGGTTCTTATGTCTCATAAAAATTGTTTGTTACGTCAAAATCTGAAGAAACTAATTCTGTATGGAGAAACAAAAAATCTCTCATTTCCGACGCGAATAGATTTTTTATTTCGAAATAAAGGTTCTTGTCTTGTGGGGAACGATGCACAAATTTTTGGAATCCGTACCAACGGGTATAATCCCCGCCCCCCCCCCAGAACTACGTTTTATTTCAAGCCTTTCAACCAATCAATGCGACCTCGTAGGGCAGCTTTTGCTAAAACTCGAGCAGTTTCTTGAAAACTTGCTTCAGATATGAAACTTTGGGTATTCAGGGAAGCCCTTGATATTCCCAATAAGATTTCCTGATAATAGATCGATTCACCCAAAGCTCATCCTGCTCGTTCCGCTCGCAATAGTCCGATTAATTCTCCAGGCGAAAAAACATTAGACATTCCATCTTCGGAAACCCGCACTTTTGATGTTACTTGGCGTATAATAATCTCTATATGTCTATTATGGATCTGTACCCATTGGGATCGATAAACCTTTTGGATTTTATTAACCAAAGATATATGACTTTGGGCTATGGTTAGCTCAGCTCCAATCAAGAATCCCCAAGGGACCCCAAGAGTTCTTGGTATACGCTCATTCCAATCCTCAATTTTCCTTTCGAGATTCGGGGATAATGAATCAATTGAACGCGCTTCAAAGATTTGTTCCACTTTTGGAAGACCTTGCGTTATGTCACTAGATCTCGATTTTTCATATATAAACGTAACTAACCTATCTCCCTTGTAAAGGATTTCTCCATAATGACCATTAACAGTTGCTCCTGTAGTGGCCAAATAAGGTTTAGCTGCTCTTATAACAGAGGAATTCATATTTACAATGAAAATTTGACCGGATTTTTTTATGTGCGATTTAAATAGACATACATTTTCACAAATAAATTGTCCAAGGTGAATTATTGCCAATGTCTCTTCCCAAGAATCATGATGGACAAAGTGACAATTCAAAAGGAATGGATCCAACATTATGTTACTATCGAAATTAGAAATCCTTTTATTTTCATCTATTAAAGAGTATTTAAGTTCTTGAAGTACTTGGAAGGTTTGTTTTAAATTGTCAACAAACAAATATTTTTTAACAGGATTTTATTATGCGTTAGTAAATATTAAGATGAAGAAAAATGCAATATACTAGCTACAATAGCGCCTAAGGGCCCAAAAATTTCTCGAATATGAATTCTAGGATTCCATTCTTTTATCGCATTGGGATGTTTTGAATTCTTGAATAAACCAATTCGAGAACAGTTGGATGCCGACAAAATCATCAAAGAGTGGTATTCTTTATTTTTTTCCTCTATGTGTATTTTACATACCATAGTAATTTGCTATAGAGAATTTCTAATTATATTAAATCAAAAAAAGATAATATAAGATATTATATTATTGCTAGAAAAAATTGTTATTTGATTTGATACATTGTGATCCTTAACGTTGATGAATTAAGAAAAACGGAAAGAGAGGGATTCGAACCCTCGGTAAACAAAAGTCTACATAGCAGTTCCAATGCTACGCCTTGAACCGCTCGGTCATCTCTCCTACATAACATATTATGGAAAATAAACTGAGTGAATAGCAAGTTTTCTTATTACTGCAGTACAGGTACAACTTCAACCACCCGGGGGTTCCATAGTTCTATTGGAAAAATTCCTTTTGATCTAAGTGGAAGGATACAGGATTTTTTACTAGAAATTGTGCTCGCTATAAAATAAAAGTTTTAATTTGGGTTTTCCCGCAACTAAAGAAAAATAAAATGGAAGAATTCTTCTTATTGCATAATAAAATAAAGAAACCTTAGAATTCTGTTTGCATAAGATATGCTACACCATACTATCGAAATCAAAAATAGGGTATGAGACAATTAATAACTTTGAAAACATGAAATAGTTGATAACATAAGTTGTTGTTCAGAAATAAGAAAGTGGAATGAAATCCAGTCTTAGTCAAATATTTCATATCTCTTCGTGTCCAAGCAGTAGGAAAAGGATACAATTTGAGCTGAGCGGAAAATCCATATCTCTCTTATCCATTTAAAGCATATGGATTTAGAGTAGAGCATATGGATCAATCTATTTATAATTATAAGAATTGAATGTGTTTGTTTTTATGTTATTTTGTGAAGGAATGAAAACAATTCTATATAGAATGGGTTGGGAATTATGCCTAGATCCCGTGTAAATGGAAATTTCATTGATAAGACCTCCTCAATTGTAGCCAATATTTTATAGCGAATAATTCCGACAACCTCAGGATAAAAAAAGGCATTTACTTATTATAGAGATGGTGCGATTTGACTCTTTTTTTTTGCTTTTTTAGCCCTACCTATACCTCGGTCTTACGAAAAAGATAGGGGGTTGGCATAGAGAGAACCAAATTTGTAAAGCAAACAAACCCATGCTTCGGGAAGGTGAGGCGAACTAACAATTCCTTCCATCGTGTATCCTCGATTGATGCGGCTTCAGATACTTCAATTGTAGATTTCAGTATTGAGCGAAAGGTTACACCTACAGGATATGGTATGGCATGGATTACAGGCCAATCCTACTCTATTAGTATCCGTAGGCAGCATAGGGGAGAAAAGCACTACACCTAGAAATAGGAATCAACAAGAGAAAAACTTTGTTAGAAATTACCCCTTTCCTGATCCGTATCAGGGCTGAGAAGAATGGTTGGGATAACAAACAACCATCAGGTTTGTAGTTTGGATACCCTATAACCACCAAAGATCGTTGAAGTAGCTAATTCCTCTAAATAGGAGGTGTTGAGAACAAATAAATTATTGGAGCTATCGTTTCCTCTAGCATTAATAGAATTAATTGGTGTTAAGAAAAACCTCTTGTGGGAAGGTTTGCTAGAGATTTCTTGGAAAAATACAAGCCCCTTTCTGTTCATAATGAGACGGGACTAATTCTATTTTGATTCTATAGATTATTCGCTTAGTACTATTATGTACAGAAGGGAGGAGCCGTATGAGATGAAAACCTCATGTACGGTTTTGGAACGGAGATTTTTTGAATAGAATGAACGACCGTAACGGATGTTGGCTCAATCCGAAGGAAATTATGCGGAAGCTTTGCAAAATTATTATGAAGCTACGCGACTAGAAATCGATCCCTATCATCGAAGTTATATACTCTATAACATAGGCCTTATACACACAAGCAATGGAGAGCATACAAAGGCTTTGGAATATTATTTCCGGGCACTAGAACGAAACCCCTTCTTACCGCAAGCTTTTAATAATATGGCTGTGATCTGTCATTACGTGCGACTATCTCCACTATAGAAAAAAAGAGGATCAAATTTTCTAGTAAATACTAGAAAAAAAGGGCTTTCTACATAGGGATCGTTAAAACAACGATTTTTCCCTATCAGCTGTAGGAAGGAAGGACACTTCACGAGAATCAAAAAACGAAGAAAGTATGGCCTATACTACTACTCTATGGATAAAGTTTCTCAAATTGATAGAGAAAGCACCGTAAAGATCAATTAGTGAGCGACTGGGTCGATACAACTAAAAAAACTACTTACTTATCCCATGATATGGGGCAAAATTTTGAAATCCGCTTATGTAATAGAGCCGATCCACTGAGGGATTAAGCAGCGGTGTAGTATCAGATCCCAAAGATAGTAAGTTCTTTTTTTTCTTATGGAAAAAAGTCTTTTTTCAAGGATTCTATAGAGATTTCATATATGAAACCGGGATAGTTACCTTTCAGAAAATTTGAACGAAGGCTCTATATCTATCTATGCTTCATTCTTCTAAAGGTGGGGAAAAAGATCAAACTGATTATTGATAAAAATTAGGGTTTGAAACTTAGGTAATTAATTCTTCTGCTTAACCCAAGAACAAATTGGATCGATTTTTGATAAATCGAATTCAGTTAAGATAGGGGAAATTCAGATAGCAATTTCTGAGTCGTATGAGGTAGGAAACTCTCAAGTACGGTTCTAAGGGAAGGAACTTCCTATTCCGACCGAGGAGAACAGGCCATTCTACAGGGTGATTCGCAAATTGCGGAAGCTTGGTTTGATCAAGCTGCTGAATATTGGAAACAAGCTATAGTGCTTATTCCAGGAAATTATATTGAAGCACAGAACTGGTTGAAGATTACGAAGCGCTTTGAATTTGAATAAGACCATGCTCCTTCTTTTTCATAAAATGGGTGGTTTGGTTGTTGATCCATTAATCAAATAAATTAGGTCGTAAGATCGAATCAAGAATTTCATTATATCCATTTCTTATACCTTCTATTTTATATGATATTTCATAAGAATAAACCATAGGGATAGGGTCTAGAATAGAAGTAATAAAGTGAATAAACAAAGGGGGCAATCTAAATATTGCTAATATATTAGGACCATCTTATTAATAATTCTAATGAGTTATCTTGGAATTTAGAATCAAATAAAAAAACCTATATTATGCTCAAGGAAAGTAGATATAGATAGGAGCTTATGCCCTCAAAAAAATACACTAGTTTCTTAAATTAAAAATAAAAAAGATTTTTTTTCTTACGTCGAGAAATATTTGTTTTTCAAGATAAACAATGTCCGTTAGGCACCTAATCTTTATGTCATAATAGACCCGAACACTTGCCTCGGATTGACTTCAATATATAATTGCTCCAGTGAAT